GGGAGAGGGAGGTCTGGGCCTCTTTGCTTAGGCTGCTGCCCCCACGACCCGGCCCCGGACAAAGCGGATGAAGATGGATGGATGGATGGAAGTCAGTGATCTTATGTACTGATCCTCCATAAAGCAAAGAATATTATTTTAAAAGCTTTTGCTTGAAAAATCAACCATGTCCCACATGTTTCTCTGTTTTTATTTTAGTAGTAAAACAGTACTTTTAAATCACATTACCTTGCACTTTGTCAGGCTTTCTCTATATCAAATAGGAAGTCTGACATTCCTTCCAAAATTAAAGCTCTCTAAATTATAATTACAAAAGGCTGCAGAACACAATTGAATATGTAGTCCCCTAAGCTACTAAACCAGAAATACAAAATTGCAAAAGATTGAGCATTAAAGTTTGCTATTTAAAAAAATAAATAAAAATTTAATGGTGTAGCGTGGAGGATATTTCAAAGACATATCTGAGAAACTGCTCCGGACACTTGTGGTATCCCCTGCCATTCTGTGTTTTAAAAGTTATAAGGTCAGCATGTGTACACCTTGATTTAAGGTGTTGAAAAAAAAATCGGCATTGTAGTGATGAATGTGGAGAACAGGAATTGAATCATAACATTTTGCATTATATGATAACCCGACTGCAAGGTTTAGGATTAATGGTCAACCTCTAACATTGGAGAGGGGAGTGAGACAAGGCTGTGCCTGGTCTCCTCTTCTCTTTGCTATATTTCTGGAGCCACTAGCCCAATATATAAGGCAAAACAGAAAAATCGTGGGTGTTACAATAAATGAGGTGGAACATAAAGTAGCATGCTATGCCGATGATGTTCTCTTATTCCTAAAAACACCTGAGGAGTCTCTGCCAGAGGTAATGAACTGTCTTAAAAACATTGGCCGAATAACAGGATATAAATTGAATCTAAGTAAAACTGAGGCCCTTCCCTACAATTATAGTCCATCTGAAAAGCTCAAACAAGCACATCCACTGAAATGAAACACAGACTCAATTAAATACCTGAGGGTAACACTTACTAAAGATACAAAAAAAACTATATGACAAAAATTACAACCATTTATATCAAAGAGTCAAAGACGACCTTACAAAATGCAATCATATCCCATGTCTGAGCATAAGCTCTAGAATAGAAAGCATCAAAATTAATGTTTTACCAAGATGTTTATATTTGTTTCAGACCCTCCCACTCCAGATCAATCAAAAAGATTCTATTGAATGGGATAAAACGATCTCTAGATTTATATGACAAGGGAAATGACCCAGAATACGATACAAAACATTACAACTGCCCAAAGAGTACGGCGGCCTACCATGTGTAAAAAAATACTATACTTCAGCAATGATCAGGGCAGTGTTGCACTGGTGCGATCCCTCATATGTAGCGGCATGGAAGGAAATTGAATGCAAAACAATAACCAATATGCATATGCAGGCAGTTCTAGCAGATAGAAATCTACAGGACTCCATTTCCAAAATAAGAAATCCTTGGGTAAAGGCCACACTAGGGGTTTGGAAAATAGTGGTAAAGGAAAATAAGGTGGAGAAGGATATAAAAATATTAAAATGGTGTGCATATGATTCGGAATTCACACCAAATCAAATAGACCCTAGTTTTAAACAAACTGGATAGATAAAGGAATTACATCGATATGTGATATTGTAAAGGAAGATGAAATTATGAGTTTCCAAACTTTAAAGCAAACGTTTCATTTAGAAAACCAAGATCACTATAGATACTTACAGTTAAGAAAGTTCTATACTCGAAACATTAAAAACCAAATAGCCACTACAGCGAGGGCATTTATCCAACTCTTTGTAAATGCTTATAAGTCCGATATTAAGAAAGGTGTAATCTCACAAATATACAAAAGTCTTCATGATCTCAGCAATTATTCAACAAAGTATATAAAGGAAAGATAGAAGAAAGATGGAGGTCTGGCAATTACAGAAGAGGAATGCCAAAACATTTGTTCTTTATATTGGAAAAGTACAAAATCACATATGTGGAAGGAATTATGATGATGGAAGTTGTGAATGTTGGAGAAACTGTGGCTACGAAACAGCACACCACTATCATATATTTTGGGATTGTAAGAATATTAAGAACTACTGGAGAGAAGTCCATAAAGTGATGCAAAACATATTTAGTACATATTTACCCTTTGATTTCAACTCCATATTTTTAGGGTATATACCCTCAGACATAAAGGGTATAGATAAATACTTACTTGGTGTGCTGCTAGCTGCAAGTAAAAAGGCACTGACCAAAAGGTGGCTAACACAGGATCCAGCAACATTAAATAGCTGGACTGATGTAACTTTGATGTAACTTTTGAGATTTATAAGATGGAAAAGATTGCTTTTTTTAGTGAATTTTGAGTATGAGAAATTTGCAAAACACTGGGGAAAATGGCTCCGCTATATATGAGTTCTATAAGGCCAGATATCGCTGATATTCATCATTGAAGGAATGGTTGTTTAAATGTTTGTTTATTTTGTTTGTTTTCTATAATAACATGTACTAATGCTATGTCACCATCTGCTACTGAGTGTGTTGGCTTTTCAATTGCCCTGTCTCTGGATGTATATAGTTACAAACTGTATCTATCTGTACACATGTTTCTTTGTTTGTGTGTTGTGTTCTGTTTGTTCCTTTTCTTTCTCTTGTTTTCATATCTGCGTGAAGGAAAAGTACTTGAAGTGATGGCGGTCATCCAGACTACTGTCTATGAGTCTTAGAACAAAGGAAGCCATCAAATACTGTACATTTTATTTTATGCATAACTTCGATAAACACTTAAATTACAAAAAAAAGAATCATAACATTTAAAAAAAAAAAAAAAAAGCTCTGGTGGAGAAGAGATATGTTACCACATGGAGTGTCATGTCATTTTCCCCCCCTATACATTTGTTGTATTTGCATGTTTCCTGTTTGGTTTTAATTGATATCTGGGATTTATATTCTATTCTTATCTGAATGGCTTTGATGTGTGTTGTTTAATATCTTACAGTTTAATTGCCTCTCTGCCTGTTAAAGCTCTGCCGTTGGTGTCATGGTTTTGATTAAAAAAAAAAAAAAAAACGTACATCACACAATGTACTATCCAAATGTTCACAGCACGCTGGTAAAATTCAGCACTAATAGAAGCTGAAGTTTAGGAAAGTAAGTTATCTGCCCATCATCATCATCTTAAAATGCACTGCTGCATCTGCACTGTACCTGATGTCATTGGAAAATTCCTTCTCATAGCGACGTCTGCTGCTCAACTTCCAGTACAGAAGCACAACAAAGACCAGGAAGATAAAGATGAGGAGCAGGGAACCAACAATGGTGCCAACTATCACAGCAGCTCTGTTTGGAGCTGCAAAATAAGTATGAAAAACATTAAATTATTCATCCTGAAGTTCTGTTTTAACATCTTGTTTCAAAGAAATAAAAGTATAAAAACTGTAATTCCTAAACAGTTAATTGTCATACTTTTGTTAAACCCCTTTCCAAGCGGAAAGTCTACAGTTCAGTCACATCTTGATTGATTTGAACTGTGCCTCTGTACACCAGAGGCTAAACTGTGATGTTATCCAATTACTTATGGGCAAGGCAAGGCAAGGCACATTTATTTGTATAGCACAATTCAACAACAAGGTGATTCAAAGTGCTTTACAGAGACATTAGAAACAAAAACAAATAAAAAGCATGATTTAAAATTGATTAAAACAAGCAAACAAACAAACTAACTAAACACACACATTTCACTCACTCTGTCTGTGTCTGTCTGTACTTGAAAATGGTTTATGAATTTCTGATTTTCTTGAGTAAATGGTTTGAACTTGCATATCACTCCTACTCTACAAAATGCTTTCTAACACATCTCTCCTTTCACACACTAACACATGCAAAGTGCTTGGCTGATATACTTGATATACTCATGAGAAGCTTTTTCAAGTAAATTAACTTACAGCCATCGCTCACCTGTTATAAACATGGCAATCCCTTGGGTTTCCAGCAGAATATTGCTGACTGTTTAACTGTAGCAGTATTTTAGCATAGCTAAGAAACAGTCAAGTCAAATTATTATTCTAAACACAGAAGGGCTCTCTCTCTGTGGCAAATAATGGATAAGCGGAAGGTTTCTAAGGTGACGGTGCATGGTACTCAAGAATCCTGTGCAGAAAGTGCAACAGTTGTATTCAAAGCATGATCAGGCACACCGAAAGTAAGCACACCATCCAAAGATCAATACATTAAGTAGCAGTCCACCTCTTAGGAGGAGAAACAACTCCTGGTGTGGGATGAAATATATCCGGATTTTATGGTGGATGCTTGAGATTTGTAGTGTTAGCAGACAGGTGTGTGAAAGGAGACAAACAGGGGAAAGAATGATACTGCAGTGTATCAAGCTCACAGTGAATGATAGTAGGGTGATTTTACTTTCACCCTGACCAAGAAGAAGTACCACTCCAGTTTTCATAGAGATATGCTACGTGGCATGCATCAGCCTGTGGTTGGCACTCTTTGTGGAGAAGGATTCATATTGCAGCAGGACAATGGGCCCAAACCACCTCAAAGTCATATCATGGATGTTTCATTATTGCACACTGAAACATTGTCAGATCATGCTGGGACATCAATGCCTGTCAGATTTTGAGTGCTGTTATCAGATCAGGAAATTTTTGATCTCAAGTTTACTGGAGAACACAGTTGTGCTTTAAATTATATCCCCATTGCCAATAGTCCAATGAAAACTACACGTAGGTTTCCTGAGACTTGGATGTAAAAGCATGAATGTATAATAATATATTTCCTGGCAGTTAAAAACTGCTAGTTTTATACTGTTTCTACCTGCATTTATTCCATAATATGCCACTAATTATGCTGCAAATCCTTGGTTGAGGGCCACGAGCCTAAGGGTTGACACTTCTTGTGTAGGACAGAAGCCTGCACTTGGAATAAAAATGAATGACTATGAATGATTCACTGCTCGAAGCTTAACATCTAAGCACTTATTCAAGGGGCTCTGGACCTGACGAGATGCATTGGGGCCTGCTCCAAAGATCACAAGGCCCAAAGAGAAACTCGTGCTATGGATCCAACGGATGCAGATGGTTGTGTGAGTCTTAAACTAAATGATGATCTCATCTGTACTGGCAGGCTGTAACACAGACTGTACTTCCCACTGGTGCACTCACTGTCAACAGATTCATTGCCTGTGAGACTGTTCTGCTATACCCCTCATATCTGTCTTGTTTAGATGTATTACTGTACATAGATTGCCCTCATTTAAGGCATCTCACTTAAAATTGGTTAGCGTTTCTGCTTGTATTTAATTAGTCCACATATTTTTTTTGACATAGCTTTTGCTTTGTTTCATCTGCATTGTAGAAAGCCAACAGGGTCTGCAGACCTGCTGGCAGCAGAATTATCATAACTTTACACTTGTGTGATTTAACACCAGAAAAAGTTAGCGATGAAAAACAGAAGGCTAAAACTTTCAGCGAATAAATGTTTTTCTTGTCAAGGAAAGCGTCCCTCTCCCATCATCGTTAGACAGCATAAAAGGAACGTCACACTAATGTTACAGTGTGTGAAAAGCACAGCAAAGAGGAGATTTTGGCACAGCTACAAAGAGAGGAGATTTAAGAGGATGAACTCGAACATCCACGTCTTTCATGATCTGATGTGTGCGTCATCCGTCATGCATGTGAACACAAGCAGTCTGTGTGAGCGTGCTTTCTTACGTTTGTTGGCTTTCAGGTTCAGCGTGCAGCTTTCTACTCCAACAGCATTGTTTGCTTCACAAAGGTAGATCCCTGCAAAGCTCTCTGAGTGGTTGCTGATTTTCAGCTCTCCGGTCACACTGTCTGGGAAAATGAGCACGTGCCAACAAGCATAGATTAATTCAGGGTATACATACTGTACATTATAAGGCGCTCAAATGAAAATTGATCAAACTGCCATCTCTACATGAAAAAACTAAAAACATGAAGCTCATTAGTATGCAGGTTTGGAGCAGATATTCATTACGTATGCATGCAAGCAGTGTGTTTGTTGTTCCCTGCTTATATATATGTTTGGGAAGAACAAGGAAATGTTTCTAGTTGTAGAGTGAGAACTAATGTGGAGAAATGCAAGTAACATGGTAAAATGCTACCATTATAATAGTCTTGCTTTAAAAACTTCAGGGTTTATGTTATTATCAAATATTGCCACCCAGGAGTTTTGCCATGTAAGCAATCAATGAAAAAAAATGTATTTTTTTGGAAAAAAGGTGACAAAGTTAGCAAATAATAGACGCTCACAAAGAAAATGATTTTCATTGAGTATTTGCTCACACAGCATCAAATGATACTGTGCCTCAGTCCCAAGGCACCCGCCCCCCACCCCTCCAAACCTCCAACACACGCATATACACATACATAGACTCTCGAGCATGCACGTATTCTCTTTGATGTGCAGTATCATTGTGACATCAGCAGAGGTCACACTTACTCTGTGCGGCTCCATCAGCGATCGAGCCAGCTCTTTCTCTCCTCCATGTGTATTTTAAAGGAGTGGAGCCTTTTGCAGACTTGCAGTGCAGAGACACAGGATTGCCAATCAGTTCCCCTCCCTCCACCCAGCACTTAGGTACAGACGGCTTCGCTGAAATCATACAACAAATGGATAATTTTCCATTGCCATTTCCATTCTATTTCTTTCCCCTTCAAAGGAAAGGGAAAAGAAAAAGAAATAAAACAGCACAGCTTTATAGCTTTAGGATGAAAAAGGGGGAACCTTTTTGACTGAGTTTTGCCACATATACAAACAATACAGAGGGTTTTCTTGTTTTTGTTTTCCAACTCAGATGTGCTTTTTTGGGGTGATTCATAGATTTTATAGCATATCTCCAAGACAAATTAATGTTTCAAATCCTTATGGAGTTAAAGCTTGATGGCTAATGATGGCAAGGCTGAACAATTTAGACACCAATGCCATCTTGTTGTGAAGAGATGTGAGAGGGTCGAAATTGCTACCCATTAGGGTGAGACTGAAAATGTTACACAATACTCTGAGCATGTTGCACATTTGCACAATTTAGATAGTGAAAGAAGATTTACAAAAATCTGTCTCCCAATTTCTCCAGATATTTTTTTTCAAACGACTTATGCTATACACGATCGCACAAGGAGTCTAATCTATAAAATGAATTGCTGGCTCTCAGGACTGCCTTGTGTTGCTGTCAGCAAGAAAATAGCTATGGGTTATCTACTGACATATAAGAGTGTGGTATGGATATTTATTTAACAATGTGTATGTTTCATTGAGGAGGGAGGTGATGTTATCTCGAATTTTAGAACACTTAAATGCTTCTTGGAAAATATTGGAGAAATAACTCAGGCTGTGGTAGATATAGGTGGGTAATTTGGTCCAAGGTTGGATAGATTATGTTCTTCAGGTCATTTTAAACCCAAAAAATGTTTTATTAAATTGAAACATTACTGCAAAACAATAATGATGTTATTTCCTTCCTATCCCGAGACCTAGCTGCGAGATTGCTTGCAAACTTGTATTTTTTGAAGAATGTTTCATCACTACAGTTGTACAATACGGTGTACACTCTCAGTTTAGACTTTTGGATGTAGGTTCTACAGGACTTCTGAGGGAGTTGGACTGCATCAATTACCTGCTCCATTATGAGACACATTATTTAATACCATACTCAACTGTAAGTCTGGCAGCGAGGTGACTGTCCTCCACTGCAGTTACTGCTCAGTCTTCAAAATAGATGAGATTGACTAAGTAAGTTCCTTTTCCCAACTGGCAAACTTTAAGATTCAGTACACTGACAAATGGCTCTTAGTGAAGTGTCATTAGTTTTAGACAAAGCCATCTTCCTTCAGTTCATTCATTTCCATTTGTAAAATTGCAAACACACCGGCCTATTCGCAGCAAACTCCATCTACTGATGAAGACTGATGTCCAGAGAAAGCTAGTAAGTGAACCTTCATTTCAGATTGTGTAATTCAATCATGCAGGTATTCACTATCCCGCAATTGATTACTGGACTCTAAAAAATGATGAGTTCTAAGCGATCGGTTTTGTAATGCGTTATAAAAAGGAGTAAAATGCATGTTCTAACAAAGCAGGGAAACTTTATTGCAGATTAAATGGTTGAAGCACTAGATCAAATCGGCCCATTTAACACAAATTTAGGGACTCACTTGTCATCAGATGAATATTTTTTTCTTACTACTACTTCTTTTGGTTGCTCCCTTTAGGGGGTCACCGCAGAGGATCACCTGCCTCTGTTGCACCATATCACTAGCATTCTCCATCCTCAATCACACTATGACATGACAAGCCTTAAATAGAAAAGGTGACTCCTGAAGTACTAAACACCAAGAACACTGCATTTTGGAAAGGTGATGGACATAAATAATGCAGCGAGATGCAACCTAAAGCCTGGTCTTACCCATTACCACCAGTGACATCTTGTGCATGTCCACTCCAGGTGCTTTCTTCACTTTACATTGGTAGGTAGCGGTGTGAGCAGGTGACAGCAGAGCAATCGACAGTGAAGCGTCACCCATCGAGGGATCACCAGCAGCAAAGCTGAGCTCTTTTTCAAATGCATGGTTACCAAAGAAGTACTTAGTGCCACTGGTATAGGATACAAGCTGATGGAAAAAATAAAGACAAATATAAGCGTAATTCAGCAATTGACTGAAATGGTGTTAATGTTACATGCAGTCTTCTTAAATTAAATGTACCATGAGTGGTTGGTTGAATTACCACCAAATCTGGGCCTCAGAGGGTCTCTAAAAATCTCTTTTAGTTCAGTGTTTTACTTTTAAAGCACGTTTACTGTGGCTCAGTTTCACAACACTCATCAGTCTCATTTCCAGCAACAGCAGGGAGCAGCAAAAAAAAAAACAAAAAAAACCTGCCAAGCACCAAAAGGCATAATAACTAGTTAGTAAGAAATGGAAATGCAGTTAGATTTTTTTTCCTCATTTAACCAAGAACCAAGTGTAGTGTATCTGCACATCATCAAAAAGAGAAACAACTCAAAATTAATGCTTTCAGGTTTTGGTTTTATCTGGATGACAGGATTTTTCCCATTTGCAAGACTTGTAAATGAAAAATTGTTTGATTACACATTAACATATCTATATACACTTTTTGGTCAGATATTAGAGTTGTGTGCTCATTAGCTGGTTGTAAGTTCTTTACAGAGGACCTATTGTTTGTTCCTTATTTTCAGATGTTTCCTTTTTTTCACTAAACATGGCAAAAGTGATGAGGTCACTGAGTAAAAGTACCCTCTATAAGACACACACACAAAAGTCATGCAATATGTGCTCCACATTTTTTCTACTCTTGGCTATGTATGATGTCAGTCAAAAAAGATATCCATCATTTCAGTCACAGTTCTAGATCCAGCTCCATCTGCCAGCTGTTCAAACCTTTGTCAGGCAGTCAGAAGAAAGTTGGCAAAAAGGAAGAATGGGCTCAAAGAGACAGAAACTAAAACTGCTTTTTTTAGACAGAACTAAAATCAGTACCAAAGCCCAGAAGAGGATAAATGATGATTATTTTGAACTGTGAATTATGCAAAAACCACCTCCTAGTAAAGAACAAGAATAAAGACATGAAGCTGGAAATGTGCATAAATAGGTCTACTAGTTTACAATTAGGAGCAAAGCCTCTACTACTTTATACGTTAAACTACAATATATCACATTCAATTTTGACTTAGACCACAATTTTACAATGTGTTTAATATTGGTACATTATACATAGTAGATCTAGTCAATCGTTGCATCGACTTTGCATAGGGAGAGATGAAAGGGGGAAAAAAAACGTTCTCCCGAGTCTTAAACACTAATGACTTGTTTAATTTAAAAGGCAAATGGGATAAACAACTAATTCCTGTGAAATTAAAAGGTAGTGAGAGTTCATCAACTCTCCAGTCTCCTTGAACGAACATTAGTTTAGACTGTGCACCACATGAGATTTAGAATAGAAAAAGACGATGTGAAATCCGAATAGATTAAAAGATTTAGGGATTGTTTTGCAAAGTGGTTTTTTTGACACCTAATTAGGGGTGCATGCAGTTTGTGGTGAATAGAGTGATTAATGACAAAAGGCTACCAAAAGGGATGGTGTACAAGATGGTAGTTAACACAGCTCTCCTATGTGGATCAGAGATGGTGACAGCTGAGTTAAAGATTGCAAAGATTTGCATTGGGACTGAAAATGATAAGCAGGATTAAGAGTGAGTATATCAGAGCAACAGCTCAGGTGAGATTGACAGATGCGGGACGGAGTAAGAGAGGCAAGATTGAGCTGGTTTGGAAATGTGAAGAGGAACGAGACCCGGTATGCTGGGATAAGCATGTTGAAGCGGGAGCTGTCATGTGACAGGAAAAGAAAAAGGCCAAAGAGGAGGTTTATGGGTGTGGTGAGAGAAGATTTGCAAGTGGCTGGTAAGGTTGTAGAGGGCAGGAAGAGATTCAAACAGATGATCTGCTGTGGTGATGAGTAACAGGAACAGCAACATTAATAAGCTCGCTTAGCTGTATTCAGAACCTTTGTTTGAGTATGGTGAGAGATGTTGAACTCTTTCATTTCATGGACCTTCGTGTTCAAATCATTTGCTAACAATTTCAGATGCTATTATTGGAAATGCATTTGTGACTTACTAATAATTTAATGGGAAAATGGAGACAACATTCAATGCGCTTCAGTGAAGGGCATGCCAGTCTTTTTTATTGAGTGCTACAGCCGGTCAGATTGACATGCGAAAATATAGGCATGACTCAACTTTAACATGAAAGAATAAAATCTGAAAGAGTTAACGAATAATAAGCAAACAGTGGAACTATTTAACTGTAGATTTTTTTAACTGGAACAATCTGTCCCAAAGAACATATTCTCAAAAATAACTGGTACATAGACCCAAAATATTACCAAATGTTTCCAAACATTTGAAATGGCATAAAATAACTAAACTTCTGAATACTGCAATTTAATAAATTCATCCTGTATGCATTTTATAGATAGCATTGTCTGGGTCGATCTCACATTACTTCTTACCATTTGATCTTTCTGTGTGGTGTCTGGACTGATCACAGACCATTCAATGTCAAGTTCCCCAGTGTCACGAGGGCTTGGTTTGTAGCTGCATCCCAAGGTCACACTCTCTCCCTCTGCCTTACGGATGGTCTGTGGGCCCTTGGATGTCACCTGCAAGCCTTGCGTGTATCCCAGATCTTAAAACATTCAGAACACTTGCATCAAAGGAATGCAAACATTAAATAAACATCATAAGGTAGTGCATTAGACGATAGAGCTTTCTGAATCCCCCCCCCAAAAAAAATCTCTGATTACTCAATTTACTGAAATAAATCTTCTCTCCTCCTATACAGTCACAGTTGGAATGTAGCAGACAATACACTACCAATCCCATAATGCACAGGTCACATCACATACTCAGGCATCAATGCCTTCCTTTGGCTGTCAATGCTGGTTGGACTCAGTTTCACTCCACTACTTAAAATAATAAATGATGACCTTGAGCATTGGATCAATCTACCACTATTCATCACAGGCTGAATTCCAATTGTTAGAACATCAATATCTTCTAAAAATAAATTATATTCAGTTATCTCAACTCGTCCTGCTGCCAACCATATAATTCCTAAATACTACAAGAAAAACAAGACAACAAGAATTAAAAGACAACAAGAATTAAACAGACAACCCCCCCCCCCAAAAAAACAAACAAACAAACAAA